CCAGAACATCCATCCCATACCTCATTGTACAAAATCTGTTCTGGTAATTTAGAAGCTTTCTTACCAATACAATTTTTACTCCTGATAGTCATTAACTCAATTGTCTGTTTAAATATTTAGGCCAACAGGGCTTGACGATATATGTGGAAATGCTACCAATTTTCGTCTAGGTTAATAGCTACCATTGGCTAGTCTGTCTTTCAAATGTGTCCCAAATTACACTGTGGATAAGTAACTATTGAATAATTCTTTTGAGTGGGGATATGAAATGAAGGTGGCCTTTGTTCCCTAACATAGCCATTAATGGGTTTTCACATGATTATGTTGTAAAATATAAATGGCTGTTTTCTGGAGTGATTTCCTTTTCACTCTTCCCTTCAAGACACTAAGGAAACAAGTATGACTTGGGGAAGGGCATAGAGGGCAAATCTGCTAGAAATACAGAGGGCTGAAGTAACCACAATGAATATCTGACTTGAGTAAAAAATACTTAGCTTGAGAAAATGTCACTCACTGCAGTACTACCCAAAGGGAGCGATGACTTCCATAATATGGGGTAAAACACATGAGGTTATCATTTCAATAGTGTCCCCATTACAATCAGAACTTGCTATCCTGAATTGTCATTCACTAAGTTTTTATGGAGTCATTCATCTAAAACTGTATTCCTTCTTGGTCATTTCATCACACAGGTCTATTTCAACTTTTCTTCCAAGCAACCTTGATGACAAAAACAAAGTGTACTGGGGACCTTGACCAAGTGAAATCCAACAAATAAAAATAGGCAGGGGAGTCAAAGAGCAGATGAGCAATAAAGTATCAGAGAGAGACAAACAGAGGAATGGAAAGAAAGGCGGGGAGAGGAGAAGGTAAGAAAAATGGGACGTCTCCAGGACATATACTTCGTACTGAGAATCTTGAAAGGTTATGTAACACCTCCCTCCCTACTTTATCTTATCCCTTCCAGGTCTCCCAGATGGAAGAATAATTTTCAGCTGATATATTTAAGGACACTGAAGATGATCAGCTGAAACAAAGGAACTCAAAAACTCTTCTCAGTTGATGTCGCTCATAACTACAGACACAAGTTTTTGCTGTTCCTGTTTTTATTTACACCCATGTTTCTCCAATGCAGTAGTAGTAGAAGAAAAATGTGAATGCCAAACTTCTCAATCTCTAGTCATTTCATTTACTATTTAATAGCATTTTTATCTATTATTCCAGGAGACTTGTTTACAACAAGAACACTACATTTTTAAAAGTTCATCACTGGAAAAAAAAAAGATGACACTGAAAGAAATAATCTCCTATTAATGTAGTCATATATGTTTAAGAATTTGAGGTTATAAAACACATTAAAACCAGACCTCATTCATAATCTCTTGCATCTATCTATCTTATACAATAAGCACTGCCAGCAAGTTTATTTTACTTAGTAAAGGGATTTCACTTTAGGCTTCTCACATCTTCCTAGAGACCCTCCAGTTTTACCTCCTGGTTATGTCTATGCCCAGAGCAACAGTAGATCCCTGCTTGTGTCTTATTTTGTACTTTCCTCAACAACTAATCTGAATAGCTGAGTTTTGTGTCCTACTTTTACATTCAGTTTTTTCCATGAATACAATAATTTTATTTTATTTCTTAATTCACATTATTCTAGACTTGAAAATCATAAATAGTAACAAAATCATATTTATGGGTTGCAATGTGGTTTATAAATGAATCAATACATATTTATATTGTTTCACTATAAGATGATTAAATCAAGTTGATTTACACATCCATCACCATACTTTAATTTTATATCCCCCAGAACATACACACTATACGCACAGCAGATAGTCTGTAAACACATGATATTTCTACTCTGTTAATGTGAGTAATCAAAACCTGTGGGAGAGAAAGGACCACAGACAAGAAAGCAGTACAGTCTCACTCCTAAAGAGAGGGCATGGGGGAAAATGCCACTATGGTCCTATTCATAGCTCTCCCTTGCTTGAATACACACCACCTTTGCTGTCTAGCAGGGAGGGTGGGGCACTGTAAGCAGAAAGATCTATTTCTGACTCAGACACCAGTTTACTCTGTAATGTGGCTATACTGTTTTCTCTTTCCTGTGTAAACATTGCTACTGAGCCTCACAGTTGAGGCTAGGAAGAGTCAACTGTGCTATGAGTAGTTTGATGAACTTGTCATTATCCATCGCTCAAACATGAATAGAAATTTCTGTCTGTATTTCTTGGTATCTTTGCTTTGTATTAGAAATGTATCCTTCAGCAAGGTGGTGGCAGTGCACATCTTTAATCCCAGCACCCAGGAGGCAGAGACAGGAGGATCTCTATGAGTTCAAGGTCAGCCTGGTCTACAGAGAAAGTTCTAGGACAGGCTCCAAAGCTACACAGAGAAACCGTGTCTCAAAAAAAAAAAAAAAAAAAAAAAAAAGTATCCTCCGCTAATCCCCTCTACTTCAAAACGTTCCTTTTTGGGTTGGAAATCTTAACTGCACAATTTACTCTTAACAAAGAAATCCTAGAAGGTGCCCCCATTGAATAACCCATATAGAACTCCAGTTTTTAAAAGTAAGAACAGTATTGCCTCATGGTAACTGTGAAGAAGAATAAAAAAAATATTTAAGAAACAAAGCCTGTTTTCTTCCTTAATGTCTAATATATTGTCCACTGAATGTACAGGTCGACATTTGAGTGCTCAAGGAGATAAACAAAGAAAAATCACTTACACAGTTAATGATACTACTATAAGCAACATCATACTATTGTCTTATGAAGATGATTATAGCGAATTATTCCAAAGAAATGGACTAAAAGATGGATCAGTATTGGATATAAATACTTTCATTGATAGTGGTCAGGAAGGATGTCAGCTGAAGATTAATTAAGAAGAAATTGAAAGGGGCAGCAAGATGGCTTAGCAGATGAAGGCACTTACCACCAACCTTGACAATCTGAGTTCAATCCCTGGGGAAGGAAGGAACTTACTCTTGCAAGTAGTTCTGACTTCCACATTCACTGTGGCATTCAGATGTGCACATGTGTGCCCACGTAGGAACACACACACATACACACACACACACACACACCACACAAGTGCAAACAAACAGGATAAAATGTAAAAAAAATAAAAGAAATCTGAGGATAAGGTCAACATGAAGTATAAGGAAAGGTAATAGGGAGTAAATATGATCAAACTGATATATATATATATATATATATATATATATATATATATATATATGAAAATTCCATAAAATTGTTTTATACAATTAATAGTATGATATTTTATAAAATAAAAAAACAGAAAATATGTCGATCAGTGATTTTTTTTTCCTTTTTTACTACCTACCTCAGAGAGTTCATAATAATGTCTACATTTTTCCTTTTTGTAATTATTTGCTGCCTGATAACAATGGCATATACCATGTTTGGAATTTGGGGAACCACTAAGGGAAAGAAAGTCACATTTTTGGCCCCTCTAAGGATTATTAAATACGAAGATGACTTCATAACCTGCTAAAGTATGAAAAGTTCTTCTGAAACAAACATGAAATCTGACATAAATCCAATAACCTAGAAAGCCTTGATGTACTTTTTTCCCAGCCATACACAGTCCAGAATCCAGTAAAATAAAGCCCAGAAGGCAGAGTGTGCTCACATTGTCTTCCTTTGCTCCACTTTTAATGAGGGGAGTCCAAGTCAGAGTGCTTGTGATCCCTACAGCATTTGCTTTTTCTGCTCTGGTCAAATCTTCTGAAAGAGGGTAAACTGAAACCTATTGTGTCCTTGACTATAGACTTGTAGCAGTGAATGAAAGTTTAAAATGTACAAATATAAAATCAAAATTCAAGCTGGGCAGTGGTGGTTCATGCCTTTAATCCCAGTACTCAGGAGGCAGACACAGGTGGATCTCTGTGAGTTTGAGACCAGCCTGGTCTACTGAGTTAGTTCTAGAACATCCTCCAAAGCTACAGAGAAACCATGTCTCAAAGAAAACAAAACAAAACAACAACAACAACAAAATAGAATTCAAGACCATTCATTCTTCTGGTGCACTAGAAATTCCATTCAGACTTTTGTTCCTCAAACAAGTGGTCATTAACAGATAAAAGTTCTGATGGCAACAGTGTAGGCCAAGTCACAGGCATAGATCACACCTGGTTCCAATTGATGTTCCTTTGCACTGATTGATGCTGATCTGTATCAATCTTATATTTTTGATACAAATAATATTTCTTTTTAAATATTTTATCTATATAGAACCTGATTTTCACTAATATTATTAAGGCTATTCTGTACCCCTGGCCAACTAATCTGAAGATATCAAGAAATGGCAGAATTTGATCCAATCTGATCAGAACTAACTTTCTGTGAATAAATTCAACATATTTGTTTTTCACCAAAAGGACTAATATTTCCTACTAACCCTTCACCTGATGGCACAGGCCAATCCTTAGGGAATGTTGTGGTCTAGTGCTCAATATGATGGGACCAAAGATTGCATCAGAACTACTAATGCAGAATGTAGACCTAGTTATAGAGTAAGAAAACTACAGAGAAATTACACAATCTAATATGATGAAATTGTCTAGAATCTTAACCTCAATATCTCATCTCAATAGACCCCAGACATTTACAGAATGCTATTGGGTAGTCCTGTATTTCCAAATTCTGCAAGACTCATAAATGCCAGCAGGACTCAGCTTTGTCTCTGTGTCCAAACACACAAATCAATTGGTTTGAACATAAATTCATTTGCTATCCTTGGATAGCATATCATATGGATAAAAACATGCCTCACATCTATCTATATAGCTATATATCTATCTGTCATCTATCTGTTAATGACAAAGAGGTATTGAGTTAAAGAATCAACGTTAATCTTTCAACAAAACCGCCTGGATCATAAGTACCAACAACTCTACTTCCTCTATTTATTACAGAACTTTGAATCACATGATCTGTAATAATATAGAGGCACTAGTTACAAAAAGAATTGAAGAATAAAATGAAAAAGGTAAAATCTGACCTATAGTACTCACATTAGTTCAAACCAAATTCTGGCACCAAATTTATCTGCGATGTGGATAATCAATGAATTTTCTGAAGTCAGGCAATCAAAGATTTCCTTACTTGAGTGCTGTGGAATAGAATGCCACAATATTGTTACATAAAGAAAGCTTCTCAATAAACTGTAGAGCAAGATTATATAAAGTATAAGAAATTATTACATAATATAAACCAGAGTGTATAAGAACCAATTTATTTCCGATGATATTAAATCTTTGATTTCATTATAACACAAATGAAATTAGCAGTTATTCTCCAATCCCATTCCTGAAACAGATACAGCTTATTAGTGGTATTGACTGAAGGTAAAAATTCATAGGAGTAACTTTAAATAGTTTAAAGATAACTAGTGACAAAAAGCATAAAAATACACTCCCAGACATTTAAAAAATAAATAAATGAACAAAGATTTTTTTGGTAGCTTAAAGTTATATTGGTAATTTTTTTTGTTGTCTTTCTCCTTTTCCTTTCTTGTCCTCTGGAAACAACTGTTATGATTGGACAAAAGAGAAATGAAGGAATGCTGGGATAACAGGTGAGCACTCCATTGCTTTGTCTCTAGCCTGTGACACCCACTAAATTTCCTTCCCTACTGAATTGTATAAGAAAGGCTTCCACTACTAGATATTTGCCTACTTACTGAAAACTACTATATCTTCATGAAGAACCCTAAACACACTTAACATGGCATATATGTACACTGAAAATCACAACTCTACATAACATGTTCATATAAAACAAGATAGACACCATGCTGGAATTCTTGCAAGTGGCACCTACATTTGGATCCTACTCATTGTAGTACTTGTAGAACATAATTACCTGCTAGTCCAGACTGATACTATTCTTGCAGCCTACCTCCTTTGAGGAAAAGTTAACCTAAAAAAAAAAAGTAGATTGCTAATAGCACAGCAACTTCTTGAAATGACTTTTCTTCATATAAAAAATGAGACTGTTAGAGAACGTAAAATACACAGAGATCACATTATTACTAAAGAGAACTGATTTTCATTGTCCTCCAGAGAGCAATATTCCTGAAATGAAATCAATATAATTTTATTGGTTTGCTTTTAAAAGAAAACAGAGATAATAGCATTTCTTTCTTTTATGTGACTTCCTTGAAAACTTTTTTATTTGGAATACAAGAAAATTGGGAGGTTAACTACCCAGAGTTTTCTTAATGCTATTGATTCAACATCCCATCACAAGCAAACTGTGGGATAGTAAACAGGAGTGATTTTCTGGGCCTCAGTTTCTCTTCACTTTCCATATTTGGCACTGACTGAAAGAAGCCTTTAACTGTTGCCATGACAGTGCCTGCACTGGCTGTTCCTGTCTGTCAATTATTTTCACCTGCTTCTGCCTGTCATGACAAACCACACAGACATACGCACATACAACTAAAAGCCTGCAATAAAAATCAATATTTTTATTAGTCCCAATGCAATAATTGTTAGGCTTATTTGCATTTCAGAAACATAGTATTAATTACTTGCCAGAAACTTAGCATTTCAGAACAAGTTGACATTTATATCCTTTATGCCCTCATCTTACTGATCCTCAGTACTGACTATTCATCAGACATATCACCTTTAATTGTGGCGATCTCAACTCTTTAGTCCTCCTATCTGATCACCTTGCCCCTTAAAATATGGAGTTGAGAGCCTACTCCAGTGCATAACTCTACAGAATAAATAGACTACTCATGCACTGTTCTTATCATTGTTTATCCATTAAAATCTGAGACTGGGATCCCAGTGTTGAGTGGCCTTCTAAGAAGTTTCCAATTTTCAGTACCAACATTGACAATTATAGGTTTTTCTCTTCCTCCAAAAGGACAAGAACAGACTGTATATGATGACAGAGAATAAAAGGCAGTGACCAAATCACATACAGCAAGGGCAGAAAACCTCAGTCCTTTCTCTCTCACAAAGGGAACTGAATAGATCAAACTTTGTCTCCGCCTGGCCTGAGAGTTGCATCTTCCCAGTCCTCTCTTTAACTTAGAGAATACACATTCTGAAAAGCACCCTGACTGTTCCAAAAGGGCTTTCATTCACAAATCTCTGATTGGCAGCAGGACGTGCTTTAGAATGTAGAAGCCATGAGGCTTATCAGCTGAACTCATCCTTTGCAAGAATGCAAATTCACATTTTCGACAAGGCAAAAGGATTCATAAACTATTTTGATGGGGCAAGCTATTGGAGTTTTGTTGTGAAAAATAAACATGTTGCAAAACAGTGCATAATTTTGATTTTAAGTTATTATTAATATTTTATTTGAGGAACAAGAAAGATGGCATACTTTGGTAAAGCAGCAAGATGAATAACACCAAGCTTTGACATACCTAATTTTCCAATTTCTCTGATCTTTTTCCACACAGAAATCATAATTACAATCCTGTATTTCTCCCAAAAGAGAAATTACCTAACATTCATTACTACTTAATTCAACAAGTCTTTTCACTAAAAATATTTAAAATATTCAGAATATGCAAGAAAAAATTTAAAGATGTCAAATTGTGTTGCATCTATGATAAATACCAATTAATTTCACATACAATAGGAAATTCTATTTATGCTAGAATTAAGTTTTCATTCAAACATGATACTTCGTTTACGGACAAGTTCATGAATTATTCAGTATAGCAAATGTCACATTCTCCATAAATCAATTAAGCATCAAAGGCATGTAGTGTATAGTTTTACTAGAAGAAACCCCACCATAATAAAAGCCACGTTAACTCACAATCTTTTGTAAACCAAAGAAATATAACGCTAACCAAAATACTTTCTAACTTGTTCTACCCTGTGATTTTGAATCAGCTCTTTAGGACTGTGTTTACATGAAACAGCCTGAAAACCCTGTCTCTTCCACTGAAACAATATTATTGCCAAAACAATAGAAATTCTTCTTTTTTACCATTCGACACGATGATCCTTGTTCAGTACTTGAGAGCTGAAGTCTAACTTCTGTTCCCAAACCCTCAAAGCATCAGTGTTTCGACTCAAGTTTGTTACACCATCCCCCACCCCTCAAAACGCCAAAATCAAATCTTTCTCAAAGAGACTTACCCCAAAATAGAGTGTGCTAGATGAGAGAATGTGCTCATGCCTGTAGATAATTAGCTAATAAACATGTAAACGGGCAACTCGCACTTTGGAAGTGCATACTTTTATCCATAAAAAAAAAAAAAGAAGAAAAGAAAACAGGGAAAGGTTAGCCCAGCCCAAAGGAGCAGACTCTGGGCTGCCGCAGCTCCTTACTGCAAACGGCTCATTCTGAAAATGTGAGCTTATTTACATTTATCTCTTTCCCTTTGTTAAAAACTAGCCCTCTTGAATGCTGTAGCCCGCATGCCTTTAACAAACAGGACACAAGAAAAGGCCCAAAGTCCTTGCTGGAGCCGAGGGCCGCCGGGGAACTCTTGGGGGTCTCAATAGGAAATGCTTTTCATTGGATAAGGAGGCATTATTAGGAGCCGTGATCCCGCCCAATCCCCTGTGCTTCATAGTTCCCTTAGTCACCAATCGCTGGACTGAAGAAGTTTTTCCTTAAAGAGCATTGCCCAGGAAAAGCAGTTTCACAGTCAAGAATTAGTGGCTTAAGTGCCACTTGACAATATGAAAAGTGTCTTTCCTGACCAATTAATTCACAGAGTAAGCTTGTGTGCTTGTCTTTGCTGCAGGACCGCTACCCTCTTACAATTCTAATGAGGAGGAGGAGGAGGAGATAAAACTCCAAACTGAAAGGAGCAGCCTATGTTTGCCCCTACTTATTTAATCACAATAACAACATTAGCAAGAATTAAAAAGGTAGCAGGCAAAAGTAAATGGAAAGGGGAAATGCATAAATACATTTCTGTCACTATCCAAAACAAAATTCAACTTAATACCATAGCCATTTACTTAAGCCCGAAAATGCCCTCAGACTGTTCTGGTGGAGAGCCACTGGGGTTCCAGAACCACATGCAACACTTGCCTTACATGATTCAGGAAGTGCTCTGTAGCAAGAAGAGAGACATTTCTCTTAAAAACAAACAAACAAAACAAAATAAAAAAAACTTCCTGGCAAGAAGTTTAATTGCCATGAAATTTCCAGAGGTTTATTAAAAGGGAAATAAGTAGTACCGATGCAATGTGTTCACAGTGAGCAGTTATCTTCATAATTCTACCCATAATTCTAGATGGTCTCTGTACCTTATAGGTGGACTGCCTTGGTCAACCACACTGCTTCTCCTGGCCCTCCAGTTTTCTTTCCTTCCATCTCTCTCCCAGATCCAAGTTTGTTGTGGAAACTTATCCCTTTGTATCCCTTTCCCTATTACCAACACCCTCACCATCCTTTCTCCTCTACCTCCACACACTGCCAACATCACCACCAACAGCAACACCCTACCCTTTCTTAGGAATGAAACCCCTTGGCAGGCATAAGTTGCTTCCTTTTTTCTGAGCAGAGCCATGCCCCTAGAGGAACAGGGGAACCTCTGTCTGCTTTATAACTTCAATCCACATAGTTAAGCTAAATCTCAAATAAAATATGTTCCATGCTTGCTTTTCCTCACTTTCTCTTCAGACCTGTTTTGGGGCTCACCTTACTAACCACCTAGGCCTGTAATAAGTCCTTGTGGAGCTGACACTAGCCTTACTGCTTGTAACTGACTCTCAAAATCTCTTTTCTATAGCTTCCCCTCCCACAGCCCTGTTTTCTGTTCCTCTCTGCCTATCTCAGGTTAGTTCATTTCTATCTCTTGCTGGCCTTGACTAGGTCTTAGCAAGTTGTGTTCTTGTTTACTCTGGCCCTAGAGCATACTTTGATAGGCTCATCAATCCAAAAATCACTCTCCTAAAGAACTGCACACTCTAGCTAAAGAAAAAAAAAACATGCAAAGTAGTGAGACACCAGAGATTAAAACAACAAAAACAAAATACAAACAAAAAACTCGAAGTAGTTAAAGGAAGGGTGAGTTCTGAGGTAGATCAGTGAGGGAAAATAAAACTCCAGAGTTAGGGCCAAAGAGCTTCCCAGACAATTGGGCTTTGAATAGGATCTTATGGATAACAAGGGTTTAAGTAACAGAAAAACAGGCTGTTTGTGAGAAATGATTAAATGCAGAAAATGAGGAATGACAAGAGATACGAAGCCTAGTTGTGAAGAGAAAAGGAGGTAAGAAGAGCCACTCCCACTCAGGAAATGTTTTATTGCAGCACTCGGTGCAATAGTGATTTAAGCCTTCTTGTACAGTGATGCCCACAGTCTCTCAGCTCACTCCAATTCCTCTCCTGGGGTAAGTATTCCTCAGTCTTTTCTCACTGTGGAATGTAAGTATCACTCTGATTAATCTCCCAAATGACTTCTTAGAAGGTCTTTAACTTATCACATTCCCTCAGAATATCACTCTTTCTATGATGAAACTTTGGTTTCAGAGACTCACTGCTAGAATCATTTCTAATTTCTCTCACCATGGACATTTCCAATTCTTGTCCCTCTGATTGGGATACATTCCTCATCCATAACACTTCCTTCAAAACTTTAATTCTGTTTCCGATACTTTCCAAATAATCATGCTTTCATGGAAATCTTCCTTCATTCCTAGTTCAGGTCATATAATTCTATGCCTGATAGTATTACAGACATTTGCACTCTATCACAGATATAATGTCTTATACTTTATGTGATTTATTTGCATTGCACTTTGATATATTGCTCATCTCTCCTAAATTAAACTCCAAAGTTCCAGATCTGCTTATTTGCAAATTAACATTCACAGAACTCCCTCTTCCTGACTCCTCTTCTCTTGATTTTTGTTTAAGCTTTCCAGCTAAAAACCCAGGTTATTTCATACATTTTCAGAGTAATACACCTCAAGGTGTGGTCTTAAGCCAAACAGCACACATAAAGAAAAAAAGTCCCATTGACAAGAAGCTAAAAGGTATGCTCTACCATCCCCCCTACATACTGCAAACTCTGCAGTCATGCTTGCTTTGGTATTTGAAAGGCAGGAGGGGGAAAGGGAAGCTTTATCAGGATGTTCTCCAAACAACTCCAGTTTATAGCCATATAACTTAATCCAAAATATCCTTTAAAATAGGCCTTCATTGAGTTGCTGATGCTTGTGACACAGGGGTGAAGAACGAATATGCAGCTGCAAAAGTGATTTCCAAAATGGTCTGGGGAAGTATATGGTTCACTTTTTATCTGTTTGGGGAAAAATGTAACTGGGAATTTTAAAGACTTGAACCAAAACAGCCAGATGCTTAGGACCTTCACACTCCAAACTGAAATCAATTTTTCTTTCTGCCAACAATATCAAAAGACAGGGTGAATTCACCCTAAGTGCCAGCAGCCCAACACTATGCTAGTTTCCCTAGAAACAGTACACACAGAACTGAAGGATTTTAACTATACTTATGGATTAAAGTCCAATTAACAATTTTGATCACTTTCAAAATCTCTAATGAAATATAGTGCCTGTACAAAACCCTAAGCAGTGTTCTAGAGAAAGGGAGCCAATTAATTACTAACTTTGCATTAATTAGCTTCACGACTTTTCACAAATACCTTGAAACCTTTCAGAAAACAAAGACTCCTATAGCCATTCTTCTTTTGTATATAGTCTTCCTTTGTTTCAATGGCAGGAAGGGATCAAGAGGTCAGATTCCCAACCAGTTCACTTAGGACACTGCATTGCTGAAAGAACAGGAAAGGGGTTTTCAAGCACAGCCTCTGGAAGGTTTTATTTTGTTTTGTTTTAATCTCATCCTTCCTACTAGGTCACCTTCATCCCTTAACTGCGTCTCAAACAGATGCACTTTTCTTCTCAATAACCGAATATCATCAGTAAGTTCCCATTGCTTAGAGGCAAGGTTGGTAGATATAGCAAATGAGCTTATGAAGCAACTTAAGCAAAGAGCCTGGCAGTCTTGAAAGCTTGGAACAGTTTATAAATCTTACAAGCTAATAGTAATCATGACGATGTAAAGAGAAAAGTTTCCAGGCAGTATTTTAAGAATGTTATTGACATTCTGTTCCTTAATATGCACAACCTTTCATGGTGTAAGTACTATTCTTCATATTTCATACCTGGGGAAATAATATGCACAACCCTCCATGGTGCAAGTACCAGTCTTCCTATTTTATACTTGGGAAAATAAGGTGCAGAGAGTTCAGGTAACTTGATGAGACTCACACAGCTACAAAGTTTTCTTTGAATTCTAATCACTTTTACCAAATCATCATAATCATATTTTCCTTTGATAAAGCATTCTGTCTGAATGATCTTGTTCAGAAACAAGTATCAAGAATATACCCTTTGTAATGCAAACTGACCACTAGAAACTGAGAAATCTCAATAACAGAATATGTACCTGAAGAAGTTTTCAAAAGTGTTAAAAATAAAAATAAGACCCTTCAGAATCTGTTATGAGAGCTAAAGTGACTAACTCAATTCTTTGTAAACCCAAATATATATTTTTAATTTTTATTGATTAAATTTCTTTTTCGATCAGTTTACATATGAGTAATACATATTAACACTCACCACTCACTTTCTCTCACCTTCCTACTCCTCTATCTAGCTTCCTTACTAAATCCTTTCACACATTCATGTCTGCTTGGTTTTGAAACACACTGATTTTATTCAGGGCTGTCTGAGTGACTATGGGTTTGCAGCCTTGTGGGCTCAGCAGTGGGCACACAAATAATAGCAATAATTCTACATTTCCTAGAAACTACCAACAAGGAACAGTTCAGTGTTATATGGGGATCATATAAGACTTGTCACATCATTTGGGGCAGGACTGAGCCCCACCAACACCACCCCAGTCCCACATCTAGGCTGAAAGAGTATCCCTCCATAGGGAATGGGCTCCGAAAAGCCCATTCATGCAGTAGAGATGAATACTGGTTCCACTGATATAGGCACATCTTGCCTGTCCAGTGGGTGGTGGTTGTTGTTTATTTGTTTGTTTGTTTCACAGCATTCAGAGTTGGGTGAAACCAATGGTGCTTTTTCTCCTCCAGCCATAAACTGACTTTTAAAGATGGAGGTGAAAAATGGGGTAGGGGAGTTGGGTGTGTGTGTGGGGGGGGGGGGGAAAGCTGTAGGGTTACCCAATATAACAATACTAATGAATAGGTCTACTAATCAAGACTCAAGTATTCTAAAATTATGTTTAGTAAGTATGAAGTAGATTTGAATATAGGCTATATATCGGAAAACTCAGAATAGTCACAAAGAAAAATGCAGTTAAAAAAAAATCACAAAAGGTATAAATGAAAACAGTACACTAGAACGCAGCCCCTAGGACAATGAGAGGAATATAGGAAAAAGGTAGGTATAAGATATATATATAAAAGAGATAAAATTCCATGCAAAAAATAATGATTTTTAGCAATAGCATTACACATGACTGACTACAAAAATC